CTAACATGTGAAACTGAAAATGCTAGGAAATGCCCTCTGAAAATATCAGCTCTCCCTACAAATCCGACTCTCACGTCCCAGAAGGTAGGTAACATAGTTATCTGCCGGGTTTCTCCTGGGCAACTTACTTAGTAAGGCTGACAAGAGCGGGTGAAAGCGAGTACTCATCGCTTAATCCGGGTATCGTTGGTTAGGAAGCGCGCGGGCGGTAAATCCAGAAGCGTCTGACCTAGAATAGGCGGCTCCCTGGTCTGCGTCTGATCCCTGAGGGACGGCAGTTTTTGAATCCTGGCAGTAGGTATAAAATGCAGAATTTAATCATGTGTGCAATGGACAGAACAAAAGGATTTAGTACCCTAGGTGGTAATTCAACTACGTTGGAAAATCCACCCTCTTCGGAGGTCGGCTCTACGGATTCTGGGGAGAGCCATTTATTGCACTTGATTGATCAGTTCAGGAGGAACGCGAAAACCCGGCGTTGACCACCTACATCTGATGTGCGGATTTTAGAAAAGAATAGAAATATAGAAGGTGGACTACCGAACATTCAAGCTCCACAGACCAATAAGGATATAAACGTGAGTAAAGCTCAAGACAAAGAAAGTGATGATCAGAATGCTGACATACACAAAAGGATTAGCCAACTGGAACAGTTTTGTGTGGCTTTGAAAAGCGAGGTTCTTCAACTGAGGGCTGAAAATGAGAAGCTAAAGAAAAAGAAGCATACGCAAATTACAAGCAATAAGTCTAATGTGTGCAGTCATAAAGAAAAAGACGCTGCACTGCGAGCAAAGCAGGGGAGGCCAGTTTTGGACGCCTACTCAACAGATGAGGAGGAACTCGCCAGAGAAACGGATTGGATCCTAAAACAAAAGAGGTCCAGTAAAAAAAGAAAAGCGGAATCGTCTCCGGAAGTGGTTCAGGTGACGACCAACGCTGAGAAAGCGGATGTTCCTGATTCTAAAAGTCGAGGAAATGTCACGAAAAACTCTAGGCCGCCTAGACATCAGTTATAAGGTTAAAATGATTAACAACAATCAATTTAAGCTTATTGTAAATTCCGAAACGGACTACAGGAATCTCACCAGGGTCATGAATGTATCTGGACTAGAATGGCACACCTATGAGAACAAGCAGGCCAGACCAATAAAAGTCATGGTAAGAAATCTTCACCCCAGTTGTAAACCGGAAGACCTAAAAGAAGACCTAAGCTCTAGGGGTTACAAGATCTTAGATGTAACCAATAAAATTAAAAAAATAAAAGAAAATAGGAAAAACATTATGGTGCCTGTACCGCTGTTTATGTTAACATTCTCAAATGAAGAGGAGATGAAAAAAATTTATGGAATCGATCACATAAACAGGATGAAAGTTAGGATAGAGACACTTCGAAAGGATAGGACCATTCTGCAGTGTAAAAGGTATGGGCATACACAAAAATTTTGCCAGAGAGAACCGAATTGTGTTAAATGTGCAGGCAAGCACTTAACATCAGATTGTGGTAAGCCAAAGAGTACTGCAGCAAAGTGTTTAAATTGCTTGGAGGCCTACCCAGCAAACTATAGGGGATGCCTTGTAGCTAAGGAACTACAAAAACGTAGACATAACAACAACAACAACTTGAAGAATTCTGAACGGCCACCGAGGCAATTTGCCTCGAGAATAGTATCATAAGATGTAACATATAGGGACGTTCTCCAAACGAAAACTGATGACGGTGGCTCGAGCAACAAAGCAGGGCCCAGTGACGTGAATGTTTTGTATAAAATGCAAAATATGATGCAGAACATGCTAGATATGATGGACAAAATCCCTCAGAGATTGAGCATTTTATAGAGCGAAGGGAAAAAATCGAGTACCACAAGCTTGGTAAATGAAGGAACGAGGTAATTTTAAAATAGCAACATGGAATTGCAATGGCATTGCAAATAAAAGGGACATGCTTGAAGTTTTTCTTCATACCCAGAACATAGACGTGTGCCTCGTAACTGAAACACATATGACCTCAAGAAGCAGGATTCGGTTTCCAGGTTATAGAATTTACAACTCGGACCACCCTGGAAATATAGCGAAGGGCGGAACGGCGATAATAATAAAAGAAAATGTGGTGCATTGCGATCTGCACCAGATGCAAACCGAGGGAATGCAAATGACGGCGGTTCAGATCACTTCGACTAAGCAAAAAAAAATTCCTGGCAAATGGAACTACAGATTGGTCAAGATTTCGCGTGGAGATTGAACGACAAGTAGATCTAAGGAAAAGAATAAGAACGACCCAGCACATAGATGAGGAGGCCGAAAACTTTACTAAAATTATTCAAAATGCGGCTTGGAGTAGTTCCAAAATTAGTGCTATTAGAGGGGGGGCATTAACTATCGCCCACATATACTAGCAAAAGTAAGACGAAGCAGGCGGGCGAGAAAGAGGTGGCAGCAAACGCGTGATCCTACTGATAAAACCAGATATAATCGTGAATCGCAGCAACTAAGACGCTGTATTAGAAAACACAAAGAGGATTCGGTTGCTAATTATGTTCAAAATTTGACGGCGTGTGAGAAAACCAATTACTCACTGTGGAGGACAACAAAGAAAATGAGGCAACCTATCAAACATCTCGCTCCTATCAAAAACAAAGATGGAACATTGGCAAAAACTGACAAGGACAAGGCAAATGCGTTTGCGGATTATTTGGCCGATATATTCTGCCCGCATGACAGCCAGGGCGTGGATGATAATGAGGAATATACTTTTGTTGGGGATAGCGTGACTATTCCAATTGTTAAGGAAAGAGAGGTTATAGAGGAAATCAGGACTCTTAAACCTAAAAAGACCCCAGGATTTCATGCTGCACAAACCTGGCAAACCTATACACCTGGCGACTTCTTATAGACCAATCTCATTGTTGCCTATGATTTCAAAACTGCTAGAGAAACTTCAGCCTATAATTGAAAGCAAAAGGTTAATCCCGAATCATCAATTTGGTTTTCGCCGGGACCGCTCAACCATAGATCAGATTCATAGAATAACTGACCTAATAGAAAATTCACTGGAAGAAAAAACAATATGTTCTATCATATTTTTGGACGTAGCCCAGGCCTTCGATAAGGTTTGGCATTGTGGATTAATAAAAAAAAACTAAGGCGATTATTACAAAGGTAGTATGTTGACCTGCTCGAATCTTACCTGACTAATAGGTTATTTCGAGTTAAACAGGAAGAGGAGTACTCTTCGCTTAGGGATATCAGGTCGAGGGTACCACAGGGGAGTATATTGGGCCCGATACTATACTTGCTATACACGTGTGATATTCCTGAATCGGAAGGAGTGACAACCGCTACATTTGCTGACGATACACCAGTTATCGCAATAGGACGAAATAAAAATGAATCTACACAAAAATTGCAAAGGGCCAGTGATAAGATCTCAAAATGGACTACAAAGTGGAATATAAAACTTAACTAGGTGAAATCAGTACACGTAAATTTCACTAATAGGAAAATTGACAATTCATTTTCGGTTCGAATAAATGGCGTCTTGATTCCGGCCGCAAACACAGCGAAGTATTTGGGAATGACGTTGGACGCGAAGCTCAGATGGAAGGGGCACATAAAGAAAAAGAGATCTCAACTAGAGGAGGAATACAGTAAGTTTGAATGGCTTTTGGGGAGGCGTTCCAAATTGGTAATTTACAAAAAAGTTTTGATATATAATCAAGTATTTAAGCCTGTCTGGGCTTACGGTATTCAGTTATGAGGTTGCGCTACGCAGTAAAATATATCTTTTTCTGATTCATTGAAAAATTTATTTATCGGAAATGATGAATTGTCTAAAAATTTTAGGGAGTTTATTAGACAGTATAATAATCCAAATGCATTTGCATCGATGCGAGCCAAAATTGAACAAATTTCTGGCAATGGACCCTATTGATATAAGATATCAGGTGAAGTTTATCATAGAACTTCAGAAAATATTGAAATTGATACATCATTACAACCAAATTGTGTTAGAGAAATGTCTCAGCCACCATCTTATGCTGAATTGTATGTTTATGATACAGATATTTCTCTTGAAGCACGAATGTTAAATTCTGCTAAAGCCCAATGCTGTCGTGAAAATAAGATTATTATTAGCACAGCAATAAATGAAGTCTCTTATGCCAGTTGTTATAAAAAACTTTGAGAAGTTTATGATAAAGAATTATCTGAGAGAAGAGCAATTAATTTACCTATGAACAAAATATCATTAATTTATATTCGAAATACCTATGATGATCAAAGAACATACAATGCTCCTCGAAATACAGATGATGTTGCTGTCGTTTTTGTAGCTGATCGCGATGGAAATATACCTGCTGAACTTGATTTTTCAGTTCAACCAAATAATTCCAATCTGTTTAAACGAATTAACAATGGTGTTTCCACTCTTTTTTCCCAATGGCAATTTTGGATGGACCCCAAACATGTTATATAATGAACATTCCAATACACATATTCGAAATATAATAACGGTATTGGAATTTTATTCGAATAAAATTGCAATTCGACCGAATCAATTTGATCCATTATTTTATGGCGGTAAATTATTCCAACAGTATTTAGTGTTTGCATATGCCCGTTTTGAGGCCAATAAGATATCATTCATACGTAATATTCAAAAAACTCTACGCGTGGAATTTTATCAAGGTTTGTTAGATCATGTTAATGATTTAAGGCGCAATAATAATGCGCGTATTGGCGATTTATTTATTTTACCGTCATCTTTTGTAAGTGGTCCACGTTTTATGTCTAAGTTGTAACAAGATAACATGGTAATCACAAATGGTCTGAAATATTGCCTGAATTAAAGTCCTTTCAAAATTCTTCTGATAGACCAGATTTAGTTATTCGAGTATTTAATTTAAAATTGAAAGAGTTTTTAGATGATATTGTGAAAAAAAGAATTTTTGGTGAAGTAATAGCATATGTTTATGTAATTGAACATCAAAAACGGGGTCTTCCACATGCCCATTGTTTATTTACTCTTTCGAGTCAATAAAATCAGAACCTCGGATGACGTTAATAGCATTATTAGTGCAGAAATACCAAGTCAAGAACAACACCCAGATTTATATACTAAAGTATTAATACATAATATTCATGGACCATGTGGTCAATTGAATCCAAATTCGATTTGTATGATAGATGAATCATGCACGAAAAATTTTCCTAAACGTTTTTGTTCAGAAACTGATGCATCTAATGATGGTTATCCAATTTATAAACGTCGAAATAATTCTAATGAAAGGCATTTCGTTCGTAATAATATTAAAATCGGTAAAAGATTTGTTGTTCCATATAATCCGTTTTTGACTATAAAATATAATGCTCATATCAATGTTGAAATATGTTCTACAGTCAAAGCAATGAAATATATTCATAAATATATAACTAAAGGACAAGATTCTGCTAGAATTGGTATTAAAGTAGATAGCGAAAATAATGTTCAAAACGTCGTAGAATATGACGAAATTAAACAATACTTAGATTGTAGATATGTAAGTTCGCAAGAAGCAGTTTAGCATTTATTAGATATTCCCATTCATGGTCAGTCTCATAGTGTTGTCATGCTATCACTTGAAAGATGGCCAAAGTATATTTTTTGAAGAAAATCGAGCTGAAAATGTTTTGAGACAAAAATCAGTTAGATCCACTACTTTAATAGCATATTTTGATTTAAATCGTTCAGATCCAACCGCCCATGAACTTTTATATTAAGATATTCCAAATCGATATATATTTAAAGACAAAAAGTGGGTTAGACGCTCAGAAAAATCACATCATGGGGAAAAAGCAATAGGTAGAATTATTGCTGTTTCACCAAAAAATGTCGAATTATATCATTTGCGATTAATATTACTCTCAGTCAAAGGTTCAGAAGCTACATCTTTTGAAGAGTTAAAAAAATTTAACGGACAAACCTATTCTTCATACAAAGAAGTAGCACGAGTTAGAGGTTTAATTAATGATTCTGGGGAATGGTATAACTGTATGAATGATGCAGTAAGCTATATGATGCCTAAAGCTTTACGATTACTTTTCGTTACCATTATTTGTCATTGTAATCCAACTAATCCTTTACAACTGTTTGAAGAATTCAAAAAACATATGATAGAGGATTTTATTCATGAAGGAAACAATAATGACCAATCTATAATATTATGTATTCTGGATATAAAAAAACAAACTGAAAACATTGGTTTTGACTTTTGTGACTTATGTCCATTATTTTAGAAGATATAAATTATGATGAAAATCCAGATAATATTGTTGTTGATAATACTATTGATATTTTATGGAATAGTCTTAATAGTGATCAACTTTTAGCTGCAGATGCTATAATGAAATCCGTCCAAAATACAAATGTTCAAAAATGTTTTTATATCGATGGTCCAGGCAGTAGTGACAAAACATATTTATATCGCGCATTGATTGAAAAATTTAATCTAATTCATAAGAAAACATTAATTGTAGCATGGATAGGAATAGCAGCGATTTTATTACCTCGAGGAATGACGTGTCATTCAGCATTTAGTTTACCTTTAGATTTGTCAACAGTTAAATTTCCTCGACTTTCTCAATCTAAAAGAGAAATTTTAAAATCTTTAGATTTGCTTATCTGGGATGAGGCACCCATGGCACCTGGCACGGCGCTTGAAATCGTTGATTTGGTTTTCCAAGATTTGATGGATAACAAACTTCCTTTTGGAGGAAAAGTTTTACCCGTTGCACGAAAAGGCTCTCGGGGTACAGTTATAGAAAGTACAATTAAGAAGTCTATTTTATGGCAATACTTTCAAACCTTTAAACTAGAGCAGAATATGCGAGCTGTTACTGATCCGGACTTTAGTCAATGGCTTTTAAACGTAGGTAATGGTATTATTACTAAACCATATTCTGCTAAAACAAACTTTTCTATTAAAGTGCCGAATTCATTTTTGTCAAACAATATAGTAACAGATATTTTTGGAACAAGTTTTACATGTACTGATGTACAAAATATTTCTCAACGTGCAATTCTTTGCCCTAAAAACGATTATGTACGGTTAATCAATGAAAATGTTTTGGCTCTTTTACAAAATTCTGAAAAAATAACTTTCAATGCGATTGAGTCCTTGAAAAATAATGATGGCTCTGAAAATGATAATTTACAAGTAAATATTCCGGTAGAATATTTGAATAGCTGAAATCCTCCTGGAATTGCCCCCATTTAAATTAAATATTAAATTAGGTTGCACTGTAATGTTATTGAGAAATTTATCTGTAAAAAATTAATTGTGTAATAGAACACGGTTAATTGTTTTAGGAATTCGTCAAAATGTCATACAATGTAAAATCATTAATGGATCGTTTGCTGGATCGGCTCATTTTATTCCACGAATATCTTTAGATACAGCAAACCGTTTAATTTTGTTAGACATCAGTTTCCATTGAACCTTGCGTATGCTTTGACGATAATTAAATCTCAGGGCCAAACCTTTGAAAAAGTAGAAATTTACCTCGAAGATCCCTGTTTCTCTCACGGCCAACTTTATACTGGTTGTTCGAGAGCTATGAATTCTAGCTCTTTAAGAATCCAAATTAAAAATAATACCCTGCAAGGAGAAACGATCGATGGTGTTGTAACCGACAATATTGTCTATGAAGGAATTTTTTATGACTGTGTTTTATAGGGGCCACTAGTAAATTAAATTCTATAAGCACAAAAGTGACCGAATCAGTTTCCAATATAAATACAATACAAGTAAAATTGAACGATATACTAAATCCAATACAAATAAAAACGAACGATATAATTCTACATGGAATATTGATAAAAGCAAATGGGAAGTAAAATAAATTAAATTCTATAAACACAAAAGTAACTGAATCAATTGCCAATATAAATACAATACAAGTGAAATTGAACGACATGCTAAATCCAATACAAATAAAAACGAACGAGAACTGATCAAATGTGAATAAAATGCAATACAAATGAAATTGATCGAGTCACGTGACACGTCTAATATAAATGCAATGCAAATATAAGTGACCAAATTAAAAATTCACCTAAATAAGATAATTGAAAGATTGGATTAGTTGATTCAAATTGAAAGCTACCGGTATGAAATAAAAAAGAGGAAGCATTTAACTGGGTTACCATATGTTTTATATTTATACATAAAATATTTAAAGAAGTATAATAATTATGATCGCTTTTTTACTTAAATATTTTAAATAAAAGAAAAAACTAAAAAAAAATAATTATTATAAGGTAACCTTCTTATAACCGAAAAACATGCAACAATATATACAAAAAGGAAGTGAACAAAATGGAACAATTGAACGAGATTTTATAGTCGGTCAGGGAAAAGAAGTAGTTCGTTCAGAACAAATCATTGAAATGAACGATATTTCCCATGACTACAAGATATTGAGGGCGCCTTTGACAATAGCTAGCGTAGTGCAATTGCGCAGGCCTTTTGAAACAGGAAAAAAATCACACTCCAAAGTACAAAGAGGAACTTGAAGAAATTGAAAAAGGTTGGCCTGCAAATGAATTATGGATGCTATGAGAACCTACCCAGCGGCAATAATGGAGGCCATTGTCAACTTGTCGCCGCTACATCTGCTCGTCCAGAATGTTACAAGGCCGAGCTATCATTGGGTCAAAGGAACGAGATGCTCTCTCCAGGATGATTCCTCTATTGTACCTAGAATGCTGCGGAATCATGTGAGAGTTCTCACAGGTTTCCTGACGGGATGTTGCAGACTTGCAGAAGGCCTACGAATCCTGCAGTAAGTGGTTCCTCCAGGAAAAGTTTCTGGGATTCATCAAAAGTGGTGGAGAGCACAATAGATTGTTTAGGTCGCGGTATATCATCGAATGCATTGTATAACGAAACTATATAAAATACAAAACCAAGTAATATGTTGCCTTCAAGCCCTTTATTAGCTCTTTTTCTTCCAAACAAAAATTTTGCCCTTTTTTGATGTTGTGAACAATGATATATAATATTGTACCCTTTACTGAAATACTCTGTATATACAGGGTGATTCAGAAAGGTATGCAACAACATATAACATTACTTAAAGGGTCAGAAATAGGTAAAACTTTTGTTTTGGACTCGGTGCTAAATCTCGAGGGTATCCAAGTTACAGGGATTTTAACGGGTTTTCATGTTTAATTATAAAAAAATGAGCAGTTTTCTGCTCTCCCAAAAACTCATATTTTTGAGAAACACTAGAGATCCGGAATCGTCGATATATACCATTCATATAAATAGTTATTTTCTTGTTAAAATTAAAATAAGATCCAAAGTTTAATTTTCCTCATATATATCCGAATTCGGTTAATCGCGTCATTGACGTGATAGAAAATATCATGCCACGTCACCTCAAAAAAAACTTTGTGGAAGTCCTGTCTTTAGAGGCGATAGAGAATGTTTTAGGCTGGTAACATTAGCAGCTGACGTGATGTCACAATAAAGCGAAGATTGAATGAAGTGGAAAATATTTTGGTTATTTACATACATAATAAAGAAAAATAAAGAAAGTTTTAAAGAGATATTTAACAATTTTTTGAATCCCTTGTACTGTTTTGATATTGGCTTCTATTAGTTTTTACTAAAATAAAGCAAATAACCTTAAATGTGGTTCACTGTATTAAAAATTATGTTAATCTAATTAAAAGTGCTGAGTTCCCAAAATTATTATATTTTGAAAATAGTGATTTTCTTGAAGAGTTTACAAAACGCAAAGTAAATAATACAGTGTAACACAGGATTTGTAGTGTACAATCAAAACTGATTATCGAGAATTAAGATGCCATTTAAATTAAAGTTGGGTCAAACCAATGGTTTGTAATGGAGCACTTTTCCTTTCGACAAGTGAACAAATAATACTTCTAAAAAAATATATGTACCTACTACATTATTAAAATTACTTTCATCTATAAACGAATATATTTCAAGGGTTGCATTCATTTAGGATTAACGATTTATGCAGGCTTGAAATAAAGCAGAAAAATCCTTTAAGAGGCGTTAATATAACACTCGATTTTGAGAGTTAATTGCATGAATTAAGGAAGGTAATTATATTCTTCGAAGATATGGTATTTACCGTTTGCTTTCTGTATTTATAGAAATTTGGAAATATAATGTGCCAAAAATATTCAAGTTTTATAAATTTCGAAATTGAGAAGAGTGTGGGTAAAAAAAAATCTATATCGTTTTTATAATGTTCAAGTATGGTATGCTGCGGTAGAAGAAAAAAAACTTCAGCTTTTTCACGTTTGCGAAATTTGGAAAATGCTTATGGTTTCGATGAAATAAATAGTTAAGATATGACATTTTTTCGTTTTTCAGGGGTATAACTTTTAGAAGTGGGGAGACTTTCTTCTGCAGAAGTAAGTTTCTGGTAAAGATCTATGGACATTTAAAATTTCTGCTTTCTTTCTTCAAGGGAAACTAATAAGCAGTTTTTTCAATTTGTTTTTGAAAAGTGCTAAAAAGTACTTTGATACAGCTTCCTTATTGATGAAAGGAAGTTACAAAGTGTGCATCTAAATTGAAATTTGCGACAAGCTGAAACGAGGTCCGGTCGAATATAAAAAAAGTTATTTGATTATGAAACACGTATTGCTACTTATTTTCAAAAAAAATTTAATGTACACACATACACATAAAAACGCATTTATATTCTTATGTACACATATACATATTAAAGAATCTTTTATACATAGCTAAAATAAAATTAATATGTGTATAATTACAAGCTGTACTAATAATCATAAATTACTGTAGTTAGTATGTACATACATTCTAGCTGATTTTTTTTTTATAAATCGATGTTTTAGAAATGCATTGTTTCTTTAATAAAATTTCTTAATATTAAATTATTAGTGAACATTTTTTTTTCTCAAATTATTTATGTACATATTTAAGAAGCTATCATCACCAAATTGCAACATTTGTATTATATAAGTTAAGATTAAATTTGGAAATTATTACTTATTTATTATGCATATCTTGTCAAGAACACATGTAAATGAATAAAATGTTTGTAGTGAAGTTTCTAAATTATTTCATATTCTTAAAATATAAGGGAAACAACTATATAAAAAATCTTCTATAACAACTAGCTTTTTCTTTATGTTTTTTTTAGAAAATTTTTACTTTTTTTACTATTTTGGTTAGCTTTAATTTTCAACTAAAAGTATAATATTGATATATATTTTAAAAAAAATTAGTTAAATTTTAAATACTTATATCTGAGGCACATGACATATTTCGACTTGGGATGTATTTTATATTATAACTATAGTTATACTTCTGATTCATAAACACAAAAAATAAAATAAAGAAATGCAGAACGTATATTTTTGAAGTGTTATTTATTATAATAGTTTCATCATTTTTTATTAAAAAAATATTAGAAAAAAACTTTTGTTATAAATTTCAATCGTTTATTTTATTTTTATTTTTAGTATGGAATATAAAATCTTTCTCGTATTTAATATAATAAAATAGGCACTTAAAATATTTTTTAAACTTATTTTTTAAGTAAATAAACAATAGTTCAATTATTCTCAAACATAAACAGGATTTGCTTAAACTTGAATACCAATAGTTGAACTGAATACGAAGAAAAACGTGTATAGTGAACCTGCGCATGTGTACAATTAGACGTCCATGATATAACGAAACTCGTAAATAAATTTATGTTGCAAGAATACGACACAATTAATGAAAAACTTGAACGTACCGTATTGTGACTTGCTTGCATACTAAAATTCAAAAAAACTTAAAATTATGTAATGTAATATAAAAATGTGATATAAAATATGTAATGTTTCTATATCACAATATAGATATTGATTTGGTTAACTCGATAAAAAAATTTATGGACATTACTGTCGTAATAAATTCAATGACTTTTTTATACTCTGCACTTCGTCAAGGGTATGTTCACTTTGGTATGGATTTTGTAACCACTTGAAGGAGTCGTCTCCTTTATGGGCATATATATATATTCTTGCTCAGCGTAAAGTTCTGCGTCGATTTAGACATGTCCATCCGTTCGTCCATCCTTGAACTAATTCGGACAACGGGTTCGGGTAGCTGTCACACAACTCAAAGAGGTTTTTTGAAATATTTGAAAAAGTAATAGAGATATTAATGTCAAATTTTGCAAAGATGTGTCCAATTACATTTCACATACGTTATGAAAATTTTAATGGAATGGTTGCACTGGTTCGGATAGCTGCCACGTAACTCCGAAAGTTAATTTTGTATGTTTGGTAAAATTTAAAAGCTAGATTCATGAAACTTGCCAAATGTGTCTCCAAATTTAGGTCAGATATGATTCTGAAGTTTTGCTGAAATAGCCTGAGAGGTTCGGGTAGCTGCCATACAACTCCGGGAGTTAATTTTAAATATTTAGAAAAATATAAAAGCTAGATTCATGAAACTCGGCAGTCGTGTGTCCAATTTCAAGTCAGATATATTTCTGAAGTTTTGGTGGAACAGCTTAACAGGTGCGTGTAGCTGCCATACAACTACGAAAGTTAATTTTAAATATGTGGAAAATATCAAAACTTTGTTCATGAAACTCAGCAGTCGTGTGTCCAATTTCAGGTCAAATGTATTTCTGAAGTTTTGGTAGAATTGCTTGACAGATTCGGATAGTG